CTCATCTTTACTATTTATATCCATATGGGCTGTTAAAAGAACACTTGTGTCAAATAAATGCACTTCAGAAAACCAATTTTCATACATCTTTTAACATGTCAATGAAGCTATATCAGTATCAATGCCCACCGTCGACGGCACTATTTTCCATCTACGAAAAAACTCCATTACCCTCGAACGGCCACCAAAAAAAGAAGAAAATTAATCATAGATGCCCCAAGGAACTCAAAATCGATCTCGTGTTTTAAGTTATAATCTTTAGACTGCAACCCGTTATGCCAAAAAAAATCTTGATGGAATTAGCTCTCGGTCACCTCAGTCTTCTCGTTTGTATCGTTAACTAACGTTTCTGTAGTTCTAATTTCCAGAAGGGGTGCTCTATGATTATCTTGTGGATGATGACCGACAACAGTCAGTGGAGAATCTTCGGAGCTCTGGTTCAAAACTACTAAATCAAGTGAATTGTCCACCACATCATCATCCTCTGTAGGGCCGCTTGGCAACTCGTTATCATTGACAAAAAATTCCGGAGGTCTAATCTCCAGAAGAGGTGCTCCATGATTATCTTGTGGATCATGCTCGACATCAGTCGGTGGAGAATTTTCAGGGCTGTTAATTGAAACTACTAAATCAGGTGAATTTTCCACAACACCATCATGCTCTGTAGGGCCGCTTGGTTCGTTATCATGATCATAAATTTCTGGAGTTCTAATTTCCAGAAGAAGGGGTGCTGCTCTGTGATTATCTTCTGGATCATGATCAACATCAGTTAGTGGAGAATTTTCAGAGCTCTGGTTTGAAACTAGTAAATCAGGTGAATTGCTCGCCACGTCATCGTCCTCTGTAGGGCCACTTGGCAACTCGAGTGCAGGATTTTGATCTAAGATGACATATGACAGGCCATAGATTTGTCCCTGAGTTAAGAACCCCTGTCGTGAACAGATGGAGACTCGTGAACATGGGACTAATTGCACATATATCCTTAGGTTCAGTCTAATAATACTGATAATTCAGAGAAAGATTAAAACAAGGGGGGAAAAGGAAAAGAATTGGCTACTTTCAGAATTAAAAAATCTCCTGGACGTTGGTGGGTGTTTGTCATACGTCTACGGGCAGGCATCTTGGTCACTAGATCAACCAGCAAAGCAACATGTAAATTGTTTACTATATTTGAAAAATTAAAAAAGATGCACCATTTTGTTAATAAAAATTAACTTAATATTGAGAATTATATGAGAATAGTGCAGTTAAAGTCAACATTTTTATATAATCAACACATTAATGTTGCGAATCAAATATTAATCATGAAATAAAAATATGAGGTGCAAGACGTTCCGAACATACAGCCCAACTGGGTAATCAGGGTTCGGGTCAACCAGGCAGAGTTAGTGTAACAATGTCTGGAGTATTTGTATTTAGATTTGGTGAGACAGTTGTAATTTGGCCAACTTTGTTAGCTAGTCAGATTGTAGAACAGCACTTCAATCAATCAAAAGATTGATGCTTAAGAAAAATGATATGCTAATTGCCACACAATTTAACATAAGGTAAAAAGTTATTTTCATGAATGAAGAGAGAGGTTATACAAAAGAAGCCAAAGTACATGAAAAGGGACATGTATGTAATTAGTACAAGCAAAAGCGAAACAGGAATCACATACTGACCTTAAATAGTCTCGAGGCAGCCGAGTTTTGGAAACTGGGATGAACTAAATAATTCATGGCATCTGTAAAAGATTCTGAACTATTTTGAAAACCATAGTCGTTTATATTATCTGAAGCACATATTTCTTGTCCCGGGTAGCGACTTTTACAGTATGCTCCAAGGTATGAAGAATTTCCACTTGCTAAAGATATAGGTGGAGTTGCGGGAAGTAAGTGGCCTTCAGTGCTGAAGATATATCTGAAACATAAATGTTAGAATATTTTATTTTACTTTTAGTTAAATGGTAGAGTCAGAGGGAGAAAGTATACAAATGTAACATTTAACGTGGAGAAGGATGAGAGCAGTCAACATTTTGTAAGTATTCTGCATTGACTTGTGTTGTTTACGAGCCGAATGTTTGCAAACAAAAGGTCGTTCGTGTTTGATAAGGCTCGTTTGTTTGTTAAGGAGCTTAGTCCGAACAAAAAATGAAAAAAAAAAAAAAGATAGGCTCGTTTAGTGGTTTAATGAACACGTGAACTTAATTGAGTGTTCGTTCTCGAACAAAAAAGTCAACTTAATATTTTGGCATATATAATATAACATTTGTGAAAAATAAAGAAGCATTCTTCATCTAGCCCATAGCCTCCCCAGCTCCCAGGCCCATTTCTCTGGCCAACCTCCCGCCGCCAACTCCACCTCTCAACTCCAGCCAATTCTCAATTACTCGCCTATAAGTCCGACCAGCTTAACAGAAAGGCCGACAAACAAAATCTTACCGACAGGCGATAAGCATAACTGGGGTCAAGGTACTACTCAAGTAATAACAAGAAAATACACATGCTGTTTACACTAAGTACATATGCAGTTATCTTTCGAAATTACAAATAACTCCTCGACACGTGCTTCCATTTTAAAACTCAGACACTTAATAGGGGGATTTTGTTAAGTGAAATCCATTTTGCAACTCAGACAGTTAATTGGGGAATTTTGTTAAGTAAACACAAACATAAAGGGAATTTATAATTTTGAAAACTAACTGTGATTTTGTTCCAAAAAGGGAAAAGGAAGAATCCCATGAATAGGTAACTTATTTTAATCTCATTTTCATGATACCATTTTAGGTTCTACAGAGGTCAGCTTGTAACAAAAACTGCACAATGACTTTCAAGTAACATAATTTAATTTCATGAAGGGACGCATAATTTGGACTACACGAAACTCATAGTTCAAGCAACTTACTTGTATGGGCCAGTCTCAACTAGGTTATCTGGACCAGCAGCCAAATCAAATAGCAACCAAAGGTATTTAACCTGAAAATAATCATCAGAAAGAGGATTAGCTCAAAATTCATTACGCATGACAACACAGGGGAAAGTTTTCACACTAAGCCAATAACTACTACTTACAGTCTCAGCTAAGAAGAAGCTTTCCATGTGATCTTCATGCTGGTGAAACTCAACATCCGATATATGACAATATCCGCATGTGCATCGAGCCAACTGTAAACTGGCAAGCATTTCTCGTCCGACATCAAGATATCTACACAGAGATTCAAATTGCAAGACAATTAATCATGTTAACGGGCTAAAGCATGGATGTTCAAAAAGCCACGCCTTTTATTGAGGAGAAACTAATATTTTGAACCTTTTATAATCTTCGCTATTAGTTCAGAAAAATTTAGTCGGCAACTTCAGTAAAGTTGATCCTTCACATGAGTGGCGTTTAACAGAACATATATGAGATATACAGACCTGGGGTTTCGTGTAGCTTTGTACAACCAATACGTGCTTTCGATTAGTTCTGGACGTAATGGGTAGCTTTTCTGACCTTGCTGGGGAGAACATAGATGGATGACAGATCGCCATTACTCATAAGATCATTATGTGAGGCTATTTACTAACGGTACAGAAAAAAATAAATTCTCAGAAGACATTTCATATTAATGTAGCATGGAGAATATTGACACAACAAAATAAGTAAAGGAATGTACCAAAATTGCAAATAGTCATCATTCAATGGACAAAGTTAGAATAGCCTACACTTGTTCAGTTTCTTTCTTCATTTTTTTCTTTTTTGTTCACCCAGTTTTTCAGTCTCACGTTTTCTCAAAAGTTCAGTCTTGTAGGGCTTTTGTTTGTATAGTTTTACAGTCTTTTATGAAGAAAAGAGAAAGAAAACGGAAAATAAGTGAAGTACCTGCACTTTGAAAGTGGCCAGATTGAAACCCTCTGGAGTGAAATTATACCGCTTCCAGACACTAAAGAAGGCAGAATGAGTTCTAATTGCAGGCTCAATATCCCCAGCAAGTACCTTGCAAAATAATCAAGTGTAGTTTAGTGACATAAGATGATACGAAATCAAACAGCTTAGAGTATGATATAAACCAGCATATAAGAAAAATGGTAACGCCCACCACATGTATGGACACCCTAAGTACACAATTATGTACATCTAGCATTATCTAAGAAGTATATAACCAAAAAAAAAGTAACAAGGAGAAAGAAAATTAATTACCTGAAGTCCAGGCCAGAAAGCCTGCAGGCTATTAAATAATGGCCAAACAAGGGCAGCAGAATTCATGTTTACCTCCACATACCTAATTTAAGACATTGCAAAGATAATTATTAATGGTTTAGCATGCAAGCAAGAAAAAAGACAATCAGTTGAACAAGGCCAATGAAATGTGCTGGCTAATGAATTCTACTCACCAAGGATCATTAAACAGATAGAGCATAGCAGCTCTGTATGCTTCTTGGAAAATGAAAAGATACTCTTCATCACCAAATAATATATAAGCCTGACGCCAAATAAATATTGATCAGAACAGGATTTTAAGATCCGACACATTTTTCAAGAAGAAAGATATGTATTATGAGCATGTAACAGAAAACGTGTATTATGTTTCTCGTCCAGCCAGTTTCATAATTATTGCCAGAGCATGTGGCCGAAAATCATCTCCCTCCATCTCAATCTATCGTTTTCTTCTTTTTAGCCCTCAGAAAACTTCTTGTTATCAAACAGGACCATAAGGTTTTGCAAACTTACAAGTTAAAAGTTCCCGCAAATTAGATCAAACACAAAATTTATTGGGAAATACTTCTGTAAGAAATACTAGCCAAGGAGAAAGGATGTATTTTTTTTATTTATTTTTATTTTTTTTTTAAGAAGCCAAGAAAACTACAACAATGAGAATCACATGACATCAACTAAACGTATAAAATACAGCATTGCAGTTTCCGAAAGAAGCGTATTCACCTTCAGCAGATACTCATAGAAAGAGTCTATACTAGTTCCTATTCCAGCGTCCTAAAATACAACAGAAAAAACGAAATGTCAACATTTTTTGCCTGATCACATTTATCTCCTCATACATATGGATATAACACGAAGAAACAGCACTGGGTTGAATGAATGACCTTCTGAGTCCATTCACCAGAAAAAACATCAATATGGGCACCAAGAAGGTTAATTTTTGAACGACGAGCCCACAGTCCTCGAACTGCATTCTTGGTGACCTGTTCAAAAACTACATTTTCCACAAAGGTAAAGATTTAGGAAATTACAAACATGCATCCTGATACCAAATTTCCAACTAGGACATACATTCTATTGTTCAAAAATAGATAACCCCAGAATTACGCATTTTGCCAGAATTGTTTATGCTAAAATACATCACCTTGTGTTTCTTTAAAATAGAGTGTCACATCTAATGTCTATCTTGTTTATTATCTTGAAAATTTTAAGTGCAAATTCTCAATGAAAGCCAGCATAAGTTCCAGAAGATTGTGTTCTTGCATTAGAAAACAGTGTTTACATATCATCTGAAAGTCGAAACTCTTGGGAACACAAATTTAAGGGGTAAATATAGAAAAAAGGGATGATATCTGATACCCCACTCCCCACCTTAAGAAAACATAATATAGTTGATGCACGGGATGACATTATTGCATCACTTACTAGGATCATTTATCAAGCGGCTGAGTACCCCAAATTCCAATGTCAGGGTTCCACCACCAGCTGTTGATGTTATCTACACGAATGAGATCTTCCATGTCATCAACTAAATAACCAATTTAAAAAATAATAATTCTGGCAACAAGATCTACAAAGCAATATTAAAACCAAAACATGTCTACATCATATTTGAAAACCCAATTCACCACGATTTATATGCCATAATATAGTCCATGTTTTCAGAAAATATCATCATATACGGTGAATTCAAGAACTTATAAAATATTTCCAACAGACTTAATGGAAGATACTTTAACTGTAGCTGCTCATGGAATGGAGCTAGGTGAAAATAATTAAAGGAGCATTACAAGAACAATTTTATAAAACACAACACAGTTACGCCTATATATACAAGACGTATCTTCTTGACCTTATAGACCTTCAAGTAATTATACATTTCCGTAAACTTTAGGATGACAGATCGGATCTTGTGAGCTCCATTTTATACAATTATTTTTGGAGTAGAATAGTAATTTTTTTCTGAAAGCAGCTCATATATGTAGGGCAAATATGCTCAAAAAATAAAAATAAGTTCACTAACAATTACAAACAATTTTAAAAGATACAACGCAAATAGTTGATTACAAAATATGCAGAAAGCAGATTATTGTAGATAATGCTTTCTCTAATAAGATATTCACTGATATAGGAAATATATAGTACGTTAAGAGGGTGAAGAGAATCCAAAGAGGGTTTGCCTTGCTTTCATTTTCATCTACTCCATGCATAAGATTTACTGACCCAAAAGGAATTCCTGCATCAGGTATAAATTACAATATCAGAAAATCCTACCAAAACCCAGAGGAAAAACACAAATTATTCCTAGATGGTCGAACAAAATGACATTAACATATATGCATATACAAGTCAAAGAAGGTACAGAAAACTTAAAAACCATGTTTATGACCTAAAACGCATACTATAGGATACTAGCAAATCGGCTAAAAAGCAACAATAGACATACGCACTTTCCACAATCGGTAGCCGATATTATTCTCAGAATGTCACCCGTAAGATTAAGTATTGGCACATACGTTTATTAATAACGAAAAGATGACGTTGATAGTTGATAACTTCAGTTGCCCACGTGCAAATAACTAAGTGCACTCGTGTTTGAAGTAGCCGTTGTAAATGACGAATGCTAAGAACAGAAAAATATTCAAGACCTTTGAAGAGAAACTAACGTCACTCAGTTCACATGGAACTTCGATAATGTTATACATATTAACATAGTAACATCAACTTTAATTGGGATATACAAGCCAAATTGCAATAAAAAAATTTCAAAAGTTGTTTAACTCAATAATAATGTACTGATGATACCTGTTGGAGTATCGAATGCAGGTAGCATTCGACGGGCTAAATCCTCCGCCAAGTTAAGTAATTCATCATCATATGAGGGTACACTCATTCCCTACAGTAGTAAAAAATAATCATTTTGCAAATTCTTAAAAAAAAAAAATCACCAAATAAGTACTCAAACATGACAAGGTTAATTATTCTTTATAGGGAAATTAACTCTGTGGTCACAAACTCGTTCAACCACAGAAAAGAGTAATGATTACATAAGATTGTGCAAACACCGTGGGCGGAATTTCACATTAGCTAACAAGTCAACTCAGATATTAATATTGAAACTCTTCAGTATATTACTCTCTTGTAATACATTTGCCTCACTGTGCACCTCTTCTTACATATTATAGCTATAGCAGGAAAAAAACGAGAGAGAAATAACAGCAATCGGGTCCAAGCACATTATCTGGTCTCAGATACAGTGAAGCCTGTGAAAATGTCTACCAGCATCAACATCATTTATATGAACTAGATAGTAGTTACTGATAAGTAGCAGTCAATTTACATAAATTTTTCCATGACTTAACCACGCCAAAAATTAAGAAGAGCATAGCATATATTCCGAGAAAAGAAATCCAAAATAATTAGTTTGATCGTTATAATGATTATAATAATATAAAGTACCAAGAACAACAAAAAAAGGATTTTCTGCCACTGAGTTTTACCGTCTTATAATCGCTGGCAATGAGATGAGTAGAGAGTAGGCCTCCAAGTATCCTTATTGTAGTTTCAAATACAGATACAGTCTTATTCTGCAAATAAGGAAATAACTCTGAATTTTAGCCAAGGAGTTAAACTCTGAATCACAAATACCACCACCAACATTATCAGCATAACTTACAGTCACTTCACGATGACAAGAAGAATAGTAATCACAATATGAGACTTGGGCAAAATGTACATAATTTTCACCAAACATATAACATTGATTATTTTACTACTACAAACCGGTAAAAGGAATTTCGCAACAATACATCCTTGATAATTTAATAATGCATATTACACGAATACATAGTTAAGCATGGAAAATAATAATTGTGACAAGAGGGCAGAAATGAGATGATAAATTCAAAGCAGACAACATTGGTATCTTCCTATCCTCTTGGTATTTAGCATTAAACGTCTAGTTTGAGTTCTCATATATCCTACTACTGCTAGTTTGTCATTTAAAAATTAAAAAGAAAATGAAAAAATAAATAAAATGAATGATATTTTAACTAACTTTCTGAACTTTTATCTTCCATTTCAGAGGCAGACAAGAAGAGTCAGTCACTTCTTAGCTTTCATACCAACTTGTCACCAGAATAGACATTCAAGATTTAAAGTCAGACAGGTGTTGTTAACCCCATGCATGATACAGTATATGCAACATAAAGTACCTTTAACATTCCCCTACTGCACTACAAATAATTTTTTTCTTAACGAATTGGTGTAAGTTCCATGTTTATATAGAAGTTCAGATCATATCAGGAAACAAAGATAAAGTATAAAAAATACATTGATAAGTTCAGTTATCATGCAAGACAAACACAAAATCTATACTCACAATATCAAATCGAAGATTTTTACCAATCCATTCAACAGATGTAGAAAACCGCTCTTGATCGCCAAACAAAGCCAGTGTGTCCAATGAATCAATCTAATTAAAGAAAAAAAAAACATGATGTAGAAAAAGCTGATTAAAATTAACTACAGATGTCCAAGGGCCATTAAACACTGAGCAGATACATGATTGTTCAGTCACCAATGTTAATGCATATCCTCCAAGTGTATCTTCACCTCCGCACGATAAGGGCTTCAATTCATCATGTGGAAATGCATGCTCCATGTATCCATCAAATGCATGATAAAACATCTCACGCACCTGAACCATATAATGAAATTGGTTGACATGATTGAAGCACATAGTCAGCAAAATAACCTAAACGTTCAAATTCAAATTTACGCCATTTAGACAAGGCAAAGAAATAACAGCAAAATAATGTATTTTATCAAAATTTTCACTCATGAGACAATTTTGATTTCCAATCAAATGCAAATTGACTCACTGAAGCCCATAATTATAGAACGAAGAAAATTCAGACAATTTCCATTGGAATCAAATGTCTCATGTTTCTTTTGCTTCAAAGCCGAAGCAAGCTTTACAAAAAATATAGAAACAAAATATAATGTGCCATCTTGGGGATTGCCTAATTATATCTGTCTATTCCCCTCAGGGCATCTCCAATGGTAATAGCTATTACTAGCTATATAGTCAGCTGACATGGATGTGAGAGATAAGAAAAATAACTATTTTACACTATTGGACCCACATACTCCTCTCACATAATATTGGGCTACGTGAAATAGATAAGCTATTTGTTAGTAGCTAGTGACTACTCTCTCTCTTACTTTTCCCCTGTCCACGTCATAATAGCTAGCCAAATAGCTAACCATTGGAGACACCCTCAGCAAAAAAGTACACAGAAATCCGCCGCCTCTGACGCCGCTGCCCCCGTTACCCATGGTGGGTTAGGGCAACTCGTTGGTTAGGTTTTGACTGGTTATGCTTCACCGCTGGTCAATTACACCAAACTTTGACTTCACTCAATTACCTCTCTCCTTTTCTTATACATGAGATCTCTTATACACATGTTCATTCAAAAGCATTATCCCGAAACTTGATCCAAAAGAAAGGGAAAGAAATCGAAAAAAAGACAGACGTACACATAAACATACTCACACACACACTACCCAAAGGGAACTAAACAATACCAAAGATCCACTATTTTCCCAACATGTGAATTG